ATCGGGAGCTGAAAGATCTGGGTTTAAGGGCCGGCTCTACCATTAGCCAAGTGTGAACCTGGCCCAAGTTTCTGGTCTATAAGGAGCTTAAGCCCCTGCTGTGCTGAGGGTGATTTTTCAGAGCCGAATTAAGCAAATGGTTACCACAGAAATTCAAAACCACTCTCCTGGCTGTGGGGCCTTGTGCCTCTAATACTGTAGTGTGTGCTGTACAAGAGCACGCTTTCTAAAAACAGCCGCCCAGATAGTGACATCACAGCTGTGGGGACACTCAGGAAACTTTGACAGGAGTCCCTGCTGTACACCCATGAGCTATGAAAAGGAATTCATTTTACCCATTAGAGCCTCAGATACTTTATTGGGAAAATGGCCTTGATACTATTAATCTCACAGGGTCATTGTGACATTTAAGTGGAATGTCTGTCAAGTGTGTTATTTTACCATCAAACATGTATATACCCCCTGGCCCAGCAATTCTGCTCCTGGGAGAAACTCACATGTCATGAGACATAGACTGGAATGTTCATAGCAGTACTGTTTGGAATGGCAAAAACCTGAAATGACCCAGATGCCTTTCAGGGAGAGAGGAGATGAATCAGATATGGCATAGTCACACGATGGACTGTAATACAGCCATTAAAATGAATGAACTAGGACTTCCCTGGCGGTCCAGTGGTTAAGACTGCACGCTTCCACTGCAGGGGGAGCAGGTTCAATCCCTGGTCAGGGAACTAAGATCCCACATACTGTGTGGCACAGTCAAAAAAAAAAAAAAAACAATGAACTAATGTGATATGGGAAAAAAGAATGAATCTTAGCAAAATAACATTAAATGAAAATTAATAATAAGTGAATATGTGTTCACCTAATATGAAAAATAAGAGTAAATCTTTGCAAAAAAATAGTAAGTGGAACAATTTTTCACTTAATACTAAGTGAAAAAAAAAAATCAGGCCTCCAGGAATCATATATAGCACAATTCCCTTTTTTTAAAGGTTAAAATAACTAAAAACAGTATTTATCTTAGGAATATACTAAATACATATAGATACAATAAAACTATGTAAAATGAGAAGCCAGGGCATGATGAACACAGGGAATCAAGATGGTGGTTTCTGAGCGGGAGAGGTGGGTGGATGGGTGCGTGGGGCATGTGATTAGATGTAGGATATGGTCAAGATCCTCCTTTATGGTTTAAGTAGTGGGTACTTAGATCCTTGTTGTATTATTACAAAAGTACCTAATTTAATACCAACCAACTAAAAGGAAGCCGTGCACAAACCAATGATGAGAATACGTCATGAGCTAAGGATATGATTAATCCAATTCTGAGTTCCCAAAGTCCCAGGAAAGGATGTTGCAAATCGTGACACATGTTGGGTGTTCTCAGTATTGGTCAATCAGCTGTTTGGGTCAGCCGGCTGGTAGTGTTTCTTTTGTATTTGAATGATTAAATGTTTAAAGTTTTCTCTGGCCCATGAAGGTTGAGGTTGGAGAGCTGTGATCTTCCATCTGTGGGTAAGACATCCGGGGGGTGGCCACAGGCGGAGGAATGGGTCGGCCTAGGGGGAGGGGTCATTAAGTCAAAGGTGGGAGGTAAAAGGCGTGGGAGACACACTGGTTTCCTGCTTGGTTAGGTGAGGGCTTCTGGGGAAACTTGTCCTCCTCATCCATGGAGCAGAAGATGCTAAAGCTAAAATGGGCAACCTCTATGCTTCTCACGTAACCTGGGCCAGAGCTAGCTCCCGTTAACCTGAAGGAGCCTGGCCAGGGTCACCATGGTGAGATGGTTGCAAGCCTGAGTGCCTTTGTTTATTCTTGAAACATTTCCTGGGGCCTTGGGCTCTCAGCATTGTCTACACACACGGAGTCAAGCTCTGTGGGCTGTGCTGAGCTTAATGAGTGAAGATCACATAGGGTTTGGTGGAACCTTCTGTGGCATGTCTCTGCCCTCTGGCTTCTGAGGATCATCAAGGCATAACGGGGCTCCGAGTACTACTCCTTTGCCCCTTCAATTGTCTGTTTCCCCAGCAGGGAACCCTCTGCCCAGCCAGACTGTAGGAGTCAGGCTGAAATGCTGCTCCCCCAGCAGAGGGTGATTTATCGACAGTGGGGCCAATATGCGTCCCTGTGTGAGATGCTGTTTCCCTGGCCCGTTTGGGGAAGAGAAGACAGGAAAGGAGCGAGCCTTTATTGAGCACCTGCTGTGTGCCAGGCACTGTGTCCATCTCACCAAATCCTCAGAGTATCCTTATGAGATGTTATTAAAATCTCCCCATCTCATGGGCTTGAACAACTTTCTATTATGGAAATTTTCAAAAATGTTTCTTGAACCCCCATCATCCATTATCCCACTTCAACATTTAACAACTCATGAACAATCTTGTTTTATGCATACCTCCACCTCCTCCTCCTCTCTCTCCTGAATTATTTTGAAGGAAATCTCAGACATAATTTTATCTGTATTTCAATTTGTATAGATAAAAGATAAAGATTCTTTTTTTTTTTTTTTTTTTTGCGGTACGCGGGCCTCTCACTGTTGTGGCCTCTCCCGTTGCGGAGCACAGGCTCCGGACGCGCAGGCTCAGCGGCCATGGCTCATGGGCCCAGCGGCTCCATGGCATGTGGGATCTTCCCGGACCGGGGCACGAACCCGTGTCCCGTGCATCGGCAGGCGGACTCTCAACCACTGCGCCACCAGGGAAGCCCAAAGATAAAGATTCTTAAAAAAAAAAATCACACTATCATTATCACACATAGAAAATTAAGGAATAATTTTCTTATGGATTTTTATTAAATGGTATTGGGATACCTGGATAGTCATTTGGAAAGATATCAAAGTAGGTCCATACCTCATACTGTACATGAAAATAAACTTCCAAGAACATCAGAGATTGAGAAAACAAACCATGCACATTCTAGAAGGAAACATGGATCTGTGTGTAAGGAATGTCTTTTTAAAAAACTGTGCCTCAAAATTCAGATGCATAAAATGTTAATAAATTTAACTACATTAAATATATATTTTTTGCATTGACAGAAAAACATAAGCTGAGTCAAACGACAAATGACAAACTGGGGGTAAATATTTGCAAGACGTATTACAGATAAAGGGCTTATTTTCCTAATATAGAGAATGTTTAAAAAAGTGAGAAAAAGAAAGAAACAAGATCTGATGGAAAAATTGGCAGAAGACATGAACAGACAGTTCACAGAAAAAGATATACAGATGGCCTTTAAACATATGAAGAGCTGCTCAGTTTCACTCATAATAAGCAAAATGCAAATCAAACCCCACTGAGAGAGATGGTTTCTCATCCATGTGATTGGCAGACGTTCAAAGGTTTGATCACACACTCTGGTGGCAAGGCTTCAGGAAAGTTTCTCATCTCATCCTGGTGGGATGGCAAAGTGGCACAAGCCCCATGGAGGGGAGTTTGTCAATATCTAACAAAACCACATGTGTATTTACTGCTTGACCTGAAAAAAAAAAAAAAAAAAAAAAGCCCTGAAAGACTAAGAGTTATTGGAGTCTGTTCTAGATTAAAGGAGAATAAAAAGATGTGACAACCAAATTTAACATGTGATCTTGGTTAGATTGTAGATCAGAAAAATAAATCTATAAAGAATATTTTTGAGACAATAGTGAACATGGACATGGACTGTCTACTAGATAATATTATGTCAGTGTGTCAGTGCTGAATTTCTTGCACGTGATAATGGCCCTGTAGTTTATATAGCACATCTCCTGTTTGTTCTTAGGAGATTCATGCCGAAGTACTTGGAGGCAAAGTACTTTTATTTTTTTGCGGTACGCGGGCCTCTCACTGCTGTGGCCTCTCCCGTTGTGGAGCACAGGCTCCGGACGCCCAGGCTCAGTGGCCATGGCTCACGGGCCCAGCCGCTCCGCGGCATGTGGGATCCTCCCGGACCGGGGCACCAACCCGCGTCCCCCACATCGGCAGGCGGACTCTCAACCACTGCGCCACCAGGGAAGCCCTGATTAATA